AAGAGGGCTGAAAATCAAGGGATTCGAGTTTTAGAGAGAGAGATCAGTTCCTAGAGAGAGAAAGTGACGAGCAAGAGTTCCCAAGTGCCCTAGATTGATCTTCAACACCATTGGAGGCCAGTTTGAGCTTGGAGAAGTGCCAATCAACGTCCAGAAGCAGGAATCCATCCTTCGCAGTATGAATTCCGTGTCTGATTCTGCTTTTGCTTTCTTCTCCATGGAGTAGTTCTCCCATTCATCTGGGTATGGAGAACCCTAGATTTGTATGTTAGGCTTTGATTGTATGAAGCCAAATACTGATTCTATGATTGATTATATTCGATTGAGGTTTTAATGATTGAATGACTTGAATCCTGATCAAATTCCTGTTGTTTCTGCTTTAACCTAGAATGAGAATATCTGCCTAGGTTAATAGAGTATCCTTGATTGAAGGTAGGGAGTTGGTGACTTTAGTCGAGGAACCAACTCACTATTTTGTACCGGATTTACTCCGGTAGTGGAGGTTTTGTTCTTAGGGCCTCAATCTGCTTACTCCGGTGGAGGTTAGTCGCCCGCTAGAGACTCAGATTGAGAGGGTCTGAAGACTTTTAGTCGAGACTTCTGGCTGTTTGAGAACCTTCCGCAGTATAACTATCATAGAAACTGAACTTGGTAATTACAATCCAGCTTAACTGCAGTCTAGGGGGAACCATATCCGGGTGACCCCTCTTAACTTGAATACAACCGTTTGTTTGCTTTGTTAGTTTGTTAGTTAGACTTGCATTCCAGTTTCATTGCTAGATAACAAGAATTCACTGAGTAGTCATCAAATCTAGGACCCGGGTTGATAATTAAACCCAAACCCGCTATACTACGCTTTAGGAAGTGGTTCCACTTGGCCAATTCCTGGAGTGACAGTAGAGTCGAGTCCAGCTAATTAAATTCTTGGATTTCTTGGGAAGAATACTCCTCCGATCATGCCTATGAGATAGACACGAGCATATCTTTCCTTCTCAAACTCTGAAATTTCCTCGGTTAATGGGATCCCACCTTGTGTTCGGTCGTGTCGGTTCCTGATCTCCCTAGTCAACCAAGTGATTGATACTTGACACTTCCTCAATGGTGCGTTGCGATCCTCCGCATCAATGCTTCCCTTGACTGGCACTCGGAGGCCCAAAACGTTGTGGATCAAATGCTGCCAACCGGTCATCCCGTCAACATCCGGTGGTGCGCGATCGCTCACACATACCGCATTGCCGTCAATGGGCAGATGAGTTAGGATGGCGACATCCTTTAGTGTGATGGTGCACTCTCCTTCGTGAAAATTGAAGCAATGTGTCTCCTTTCGCCATCTAACCACCAATGCGGTGACGAGTTGACAGTCGATCTTTATCCCTAAGAAGTACCTAATCGACTCCAACCTTGCCCTTTTGAGATAGGGCAAGATGACATCGTTATATGCGAGCACATTGCTTGTACCCTTATAGCGGATTACATGGTATGCATCCTATAGAAAAATTTAACTTTCCCCATAAGTATATTATAATAAAAAATTATAAATTTATTATAACAAATAGTTTAAGTAAAAAATAATTTAAAAGAAGGACAATGCACATTGAAAACAGTAATAAACAGTTTAAATAAACAATAATAATTATAACAAAAAGTAATCTTTTATAACAAACAATTTAAATAAATATTTGAAAACATACACATTAAATCCATGTCAATATTGTGTATATCGTATTGGTTATTTTCAATAACTTAATCGAATACAATGCAACACTCGTTAGACTCTTAGAAGAGGTATACATATTCTTAGAAACACTGCCTTTTTGACAGAAAAATGGGGGGATCCGAGAATCGCTTAAAACCCGATTTTCCTAGAAAATGGGAGGATCATCATAATCACTTAAAACCTCATTTCCTTAGGCATGCATCTCTTTATATCTTTAAAGCTTCAAACAAAAGGCTTGAAGTTGCTACGAAGGCTGTTTTTCTGGCAGCTTGCTTGTGCTCGAAGTCTGCCAGAAAAACAGCCTTCGTAGCAACTTCGACTCTTTTGTTTGAAGCCTTATAGATATCCAATCTTTCATCCAATGCCTTGAATTTGTATAAAAACATACCTAATTTAACGTGGTAGAGGCTCATGGACTCGACTCGCATTCGTGCTTCTCGAATTGAGCTCCAAAATAGACTTCACAAACACGTTTCCAGACTTAGCCATTTCTAGGCAGTTTCCCAGTTTTGGCATAGCCTTTTGATGAGGTTCAAAAATGGTCTTCTAGACTTCCTATCGAGCTCTCAATACTTCAATATGTAGAGGGACACTCCGGTTCAAAACAAGTCATTAGTCTTCAATTTCCATCTAGCCAATTGTAAGATATGAATATCCAAAGTAGGCACCATGAACTGTTTTTACACTGAAACAACAGATTAGGTCGACCTGATCCTATATGAGGTTGACCGAATCCTAAATGAGGTCGACCAGATCCTATATGAGGTCGACCGTATCCTAACCGAGGTCGACCGGAAAGTGCAAGTCACCGTGAATGGATTGTGGTGTGGAAAAATGGGAGGGGGAGAGGGGGTTTATATAGCACTCGGACCGCCCCCTTCAGGGGTGGTTTTGTCAAGTTGCCCCAACTGAAACCGCTCCCTCGAGACACGGTTTTCATTTACCGAGGACGAAGACTGCAGCTTTGGCGAGCTGTTCGTGATCCATGACGTTGATCGCTCCCATGGCATGCGCTCCACCGTTGGATCGCGCTTCGATTAGACGGTTCAAGAAACCGTAGCCAGCTAATGCGATTCCTCGGCCGACCTAGCACAGACCATGCCTTCCATGCACGGTTTTTGTGTAAACCGCTGCTTTGGTGGGCGGTTATGGAGAAGGGTGCTACTTTTGGAATTTGTCTTGTTTGGTTACTACTTTTGTAAAAAAAAATTAACAGTGCTATTTCTGGATTTTTTCCACCACCTAGCCTCTCTCATGTTTTCCCCTTTTTCATTGGAAAAGGAAAGAGGAGAAAATGGAGGAAGCATGTTTTTTTTCTTTCTTCTTCATTGAATCAGATCCTTGTATTAATCAACTGCCAAATCTGATACAACGAGTATAGAGGTATACCTCTATGTAGTCCCTATTGTACTACATCCAACTTCACTCTATAACTCTATACATCAACAAGGAAACCAACAAAACTGCTAGAATGTAAACTACTGTCAATTAACTGTCCAAGTGCAAAAATGACAGATCCCCCTGCAAATTGGCATAAACTAGTTGGTCCCAATAACTCGAGTTGTTGAGAGAAGGTTACGCTGGATCTTATACCACTCTCTTACATGACCCCTCAAATGAAAGCCAACTAATGGGCTTGAAGTTGGCACAAGCCCACCATACCTTGTGCTTTAATCAACTGTTAATATTGGGGATCGTGGAGATTCGAACACATGACCACTTGGCCAAACCATCTCTGATACCATGTTATAAACCAGTTGGTCCAATAACTCGAGTTGTTGGGAGAAGTTTATGCTAGATCTTATACCACTCTCTTACACAAAGTAATATTTGAGAAGGCCACTAGCTAGCTGAAGATCTCTTTTAATCATACGGGTTAGCACAAGAACCCTTGTCTGCCATGAGTGCGATTACATTGCTCCCGCCAAATAGCTGTCACAATACACCATAGAAGCCCGCTGACTCGCACATGAGCAGCAGTTTTTGATGAAGCATCTATAGCAGCTTCAACAGTAGCCCCCAAGATGATCGAACAAATAACTGCTCAAGACCAACATTCTGCACTAGCTTTCTAGCAAACTCACAGGAGAAAAACAGATTTTTCCTTCCCTCGATTCATCAGCCACATCACATAATGAACAAGAAGAATCTACCAATTTACTCCACTGTCTCAGTTTATCTCGTGTAACTATACTATTCAGTAGTACCAACCATGCAATAATAGTGAACCTAGGAGGACAAATTAAAATTTGTTCCATATCACCCTATACCACCCCCACTGGGCTCTCACGGACTCTTATGGAGTTCCAAAATGTACTTACAGAGTATGCAGGCATAGGAGATCCATCCCACAACACCTCTCTGTTCCTCGCTTATGGAGCTTTGACCCAATAAAATCTCTTAGTTTCAGAATTATAAGCCACACCCAGGAACTACTAGAAGAAATCTTCAGCGAGGAGATAGATCCATCTCCACTCCTATAGATCTTCATCCAGGCCACCCAGGTCGTCCTTGACTCCATTAAGAATAACCAGATCATTCGCCCCACACATTGAGGAATTTTAAAGTAGAAGAAAATAAAAAATGGGAACAATTTGTTTTTAGTGTGCTGACGTGTGAGCATGATTTTAGTTTAATGATGATGTGGCAGTGGTCTAAATTTTAAACCCTTTTAATATTTTTATAGATAGATAGTTTGGTTTAATAAAATATATCTAGTTTCAAAAGAATCGTCGTATGAAAGTGATTTTTTTAATAATTTAGTTTGTGTCTCACGATAATATTTTTAAAGCACATGAAATTGTTGTGTATTATAACTTAGGAGAATAAGAAACGTGTCGTGCGAACATGACAGTACATGAGTCATACATGTATGGTGGTATAAATTGAACGATATTGTTATAGTTTAGTATCGAATATGAGTATGACTCGTGAACATATGAATGTGAATTTATTTTATATTTTTAACATATATCAAAACTATATATCATTGTGTAGGTCACATAAAAATGATTTCTTTTGTAAAATAATATAATTTTTTTTACATAGTCAATAGTACAATAAGAACAATATGTCAAACAACGGATAACAATCACGGGCGATAGTCAACCAATAGTCGAACTATTGATAAAAGTACATGTTTAGTCACAAAATGGACAACCTTGTTAAACCTCCAAAGAGCAAAGGAACAAGCATAGAAGACTAATCGTCGAACAAGTCATTTGACACCTTCTAATATAGCTTATCCAACATCAATATAGGTCTCCTGTGAGCACTGTCACGACGCGAAATGTTGTGACCGTGTTGATCGTCTGAAGAACGTTGCCATCTGGTTGTCTTGCCACAAGAGGGGTAAAGGGGGCAACATTAGCGATAAGGCGTTGTCTGCCTGTGCATCGTTTCTGGCAGAGTCATGATGTGGCTATGAAGGGTATCGTTACAAGAGAAGGCACAACTGGTCAGAGACTATTGTCGTCTCCCTAATGAAACCAGTTGGCATGCGTATGCGAAGAGGCCGGTCTTGAGGAATGAGTGCACCTCAAGACGCCGCACGGGCTTCAGAAGTCTACGTCCGTGACAAGTGGTATCAGAGCCTGGTTAGGATGAAGAGCCTAGTTCCTCACTCAGTACGACATAGGTCGAGTATGGGCCGACCCTATGTCCAAATGAGAGGCAGTCCTGGGTGTGCATATCAGGTGGTCCGGACGCAGATACACATGTGTTGCGCCGTTGAGAGGGACCTTGACAGGCTGAAGATGCAGCGGCGAAGAATGCCTTTCAACCGAGGAACTAACGCTAGCGAAAGCGTAGGGTGACGGTCAATTGAGATACAATTGTTGGGAGTAGTGTAGGGTGAAAGTCGACTGAGGTACTAGCGCAGCAGAAGCGAAGAGTGAAGGTTGATGTCGAGGGTCGAAGCGGTATGTGCGCGGGGCACAGCAGGCTAGCGCAAGAGACGCAACCGGAGCCTGTCCATCAGAGGATGGTATCGTATGCGGATGCCCATAATCGGTTCGAGTGTTGCAATACATGCTGCGGAGAGAAGCATTCTTCACCAGCACGAGGACGTGCTGCATTATGAGTGGTGGAGAATGTCACGACCCAAAATGTCGTGACTGTGTTGATTGTCTGAAGAACGCTGTCATCTGGTTGTCTTGCCACAAGAGGGGCAAGGGGGCAACATTAGCGATAAAGCGTTGTCTGCCTGTGCATCGTTTTTGGCCGAGTCAAGATGTGGCAATAAAGGGGATCGTTGCAAGAGAAGGCACCAATGGTCGGAGGCTATTGTCGTCTCCCTGATGAGCCCAAGGAAGGACGAAACCAGTTGGCATGTGTATGCGGTGAGGCTGGTCTTGAGGAATGAGTGCACCTCAAGACGCCGCACGGGCTTTGGAAGTCTATGTCCGTGACAAGTGGTATCAGAACCCAAGGCAAGGCGAAACCAGTTAGCATGCGTATGCGGAGAGGTTGGTCTTGAAGAATGAGAGCACCTCAAGACGCCGCACGGGCTTCGGAAGTCTATGTTCGTGACAGCACCCGATGCACCACCATTAATTTGGGAATCACCGTAGAATTAAGCCAACCAAATATTTACGGGTTAAACACTAATTAATTGCATCACACAAGAGAATTAATTCCATAAAGAATGAATCCTGAATACCATCATAAATCTTGCCAAATGCGAACGCCACCCATTAAAGGTTACATAAAACATAACCACCACAAATTCATAGGTTAAGCATCACAACTGTAACAACAAAACACCTCAACTATTTTGCTTTAGAGCAGCTTGTCTCTCCTAGCAATTCAAAGTACCAAATGCCCTAGCTACAAAAATGAAGAACTCGTGCCTCGTGTTAGATAGATAGTGAAAGGGTGTATAAATATGCAGCTAAGCCGAGGAGCACCATTGACAACTAAATAGTGCTTGCAGTACCAATCCTCATAGCAGATTATTATTATTAAATACAAACAACATAACACTAATCGAACTCCTTTCTCAAAAATTTAACAAACATAATATGGCACTCATTTAAAAAGAAAAAGGTCATTCATATTGATTGGATATTGGATGCTAGAATGATAATTACATTATGTTGAAGAAGACGCTATAGATGTGAGACTTCTACTTTCATCATAAATAATAATATAAATATTGAGCCACCTCCACAAGTCAGCGCATTTATTCGAGCTCGAGCATCTAGAAATGCACAGAATTGAGAAAATACTCACCTTTATAAGTTTGGGTTAACAAAAGGATGAATCTTGTAAAATACGCTAATTAATCTTAACTAAAATAGATTGATTAAAAACTTCAAAATCCCGAAAACCCTACCCCTGCTTCTTTCGTAACAAAGAATTTTCCAAGCCACCCCTCTAGGGTCTAGACCAATCTTAGCCAAGAGATGATGTTATTATCCAAATCACATATTTTTAGTTATAATCATGTTGTTATGTCTGATGCCAGAAAAATTACGTATGGATGTCGTAATAAATATCTATAGATTTTTTTTATCGACTCCGATTTCAACCCACTCGCTTGCGTTTTCAAATTATGGAAACCAAAAAAACTGACAGGTAACCCTAATTCCCTCTTTTATAAAGAACCCAATACGCAATCTGAGCTCTCTCAATTTCGGCCGGTGGGGAAGAAGGCACACGAGCGAGCTATCCGAAACGCAGATAGACAGCTCAAAAGCTCTGCAAGTCAGGTTAACGAGGGGACGGGGAGTGTGGTGCGCTTCGTCGTCTTCGGGGTTTCTGGGGTTTGAGCTAGAGGATGGTCGGGGGAGGTGCCGGCGGTAGGACGAATGAGCAGGTGGTTCTGAACAGTACAAATGTCTTTGCTGCGCTCGACACCTTGAGGAAGAAGAAGAAGAGCTCGAGCTCGTCCGCTGCTGCTGCTGCTGCGAATTCCGGGAAGGACCGCCACGGTTCGTCTAAATCGAAATCGACCAATGACGGTGATAAGGAGTCCGAGAAGGTGTTCTGGTCGCCGGCGCCGCTGAACTCGAAATCTTGGGCCGACGTCGATGACGAAGATGATGACGATTACTTTGCGACTACTGCCCCTCCAGCTGTCGTCTGGGGTGAAGATGATGCTGGTGCCCAGAAGGAAAAGGAGGCTGTGGAGGTGATCTTGGTTTCTCTAATTTTTTGGGTTTGTTTGATTGTGGTGTGTAGCTATATCAAGATGCTTACTTTATCATACTCTTGCTGTTGGTTTATTGTGAATTTTGGTTTAACTTGGAATCCGCTTGTGTGATTGTGGTGGTCTTGTTTACTTGACGTTATAGAAATTGGGCGAATGGCTTTTTGTGTTGGAGTAAGCAGCTTTCACTGGTTCTCTAAAGGAAACTTCTGTTGGCCTGATGTTGAAAAGGAGATAACAGATTTTCTTATTTCATTGGATCTCTTCTGTCAAATATGTGGCTCTGCGTTTGTGGATGGATTTGCATAGAAAGGTTTCTGGAGGAAGAAATGAGGCATTTGTGATTGCTAAGTAATTCATGTTTGACTTAGACTATTGATGCAATTAGAAATAGAGAACATATCTGCCCACTTGTTAGTAAATAGACTTTTTCTAGTTTGAGAACTGACTTAACATGTGTCGCCTGTATTGGATTCTGGGTGTGAGGTGGAGTTTTAGGATTTTTGGTCAAGGGACTTTGCCCGTGCTTCAGTTTGTAGTTTACGCACGGTAGTGTCGGTTTATGGATACATGATTACGCTTTCATAGTTGCCTTACTAGGAAAAAAGGCCGGAATCGGTATCACCTCTTGTCGTACCTGGAAAGTTTGGTACAATACTTTTTTGTCAAATAATATGAATGTTGGAGGCTGCTAAGAGGATCTCATTACCTGGTCCATCCAATTGCTAACGAACTCATGTTGGTAGTCTTGCAGTGATGAATACTGAGGAACAATATTACTGTTTCAACCAGAGTTTTTCCCCTAGTGATGTAAGAAAAATATAGTCACATTCCTCAAGATCTTCATATCCTTGGAGCATATTTAAGTGATTTGATTATGTCTTGTGATTTTCTTGACTTATTGCAAGGTAGGTCTCTATATTGCTGCCAACTATGTAACCCTCCCAATATTGCTTTAGATACTTTGGGGAGCATTGTGAATTGTGTCTTTTGGTGATTAGCAGCATTAGTCCACGGTTGTTGGCATTAGATGATTTTATCGAATTCTGTTTTCTGAAGCACTTGCCCACTTGTTATTGGCTTTGGACAAAGGATGCATTCAGTTGTTTTGCAGTTGTTATTGTACATACAAACACAGATACTTTATTCTCTTTTGGTCAGGAGCAGTCATCAAGTATCAGTATATCTTAATTGTGTTTTCTTAAAAATCAAAACCAGCTATTGTAGGCAGGGTTTTTAGTCATGAACCATGCGAGAACCCTGAGGATGAAAGAAAATCCCGTAAGTTGGTGTTAGATAGTCTTGCATCAAATGCAGCTCTTTGCTTTCCGAAATATGTTTTAAAATCTTATGTTTATACAATGGCGGAAATAACTAGGATGTTAATATTCCAGTTCAGCAAATTTAAGTCAAAGTTGCTGCAGTACTCATGGATTGTGTCTCTCTGTTGTTTGATACAACTCCAAGCTGTTTATATTGTCGTTTCTGTTTGATGATCGCGTTAGATATTGACCAGGATTTACAGCAACTAGTCTTACCTCAAATGCTGTTTGGTTTGCAGGAAAGTGAAAGTGATGAAGAAGGTCTTGATGAAATTGATGATGATGTGGAGGAGGAACATGAACCCGAACCTGAAACAGCCACCGAGGTGGAGCCAGTTCAGAAGCAACCTGAGACTTCCTTAGCTCCAAAAGAATCAGAAAGACAACTTTCGAAGAAGGAATTGAAGAAAAAAGAGCTTGAAGAACTTGATGCCGTTCTTGCCGAGCTCGGAATGGCCAAACCGGAGTCCAGTAGCCATGAAGTAGTCTCTGATGGTAACTTCTCATAAAAGACTCTGTTTCTCCTCCTATTATAGTTTTAATATTATGTATTCACCACAAAAATAACATGTGGCTGCAACACTTTGTTCCCCGATTATAAAACAATATTCTACATTTTTCACCAGATGTTTCACAAGAGAAGAAAGCAGACAACAACGGACAAGTGAAGAATGAAAATGCTCCAGGCGAGAGCAAGAGTGCCAAAAAGAAGAAGAAGAAGGAAAAGACCTCAAAAGAAGCCCCCAAGGATCCCGAGGGAGATGGCGCTGGAAGTAGCAACGCTGAAGCTGAAAAGTCTGATGATGCATCAAATGGTGTTGATGTGAAAGAGCGGCTGAAGAAAGTGGCGGCTAAAAAGAAGAAATCAAGTAAAGAAGTAGATGCCGCTGCCAAGGCTGCTGCTAGTGAGGCTGCTGCCAGGCGAGCAAAGGTTGCTGCCGCAGCAAAGAAGAAGGAGAAGTCTCACTACAATCAGCAGCCTGTGCGGTAAGGCAAGCAAGAGAAAATTTTGTCCTCGGTTCTTGTCTTTGATTTTGATGATGCAAGTAGTACCTCAGGCTAAGGATTTATGGCGCGATATCGATTGCAGCTTTATTTTGAGAAGGGATAGAAAGATACTTCTTCGTTTTAGTTCTTCACTTGTCCTGGTTTTGTTAGCAATGCTGAACCTAGTGCTTCCTTAAATAGCCTAAATATGAAATGATAGGTTTCATGGTTCATTTCCTTGTAAGTTTTGCTATTAGTGACACATTTGCTGCTGGTTCCCTGTTGAGTCAACTCATTCCCTCGAAACGAGCCAGCTTACTAGTTAAACTCAATGAACCATTGAGTTGAGCTAGCTCGCTCGTGAGTCTCATGAACTGAAATGATGAGTTCAGTCTTGACTTGTTCGCTAACAAGCCGAGTTACTAATGAGCTTATTCCGAATCAAGCGTAGAACTGCTCGTGAGCGCAGCCCTAATTTGAGTAATTTCCTCCCCTTCCCTTCCAATTACGCTCAATAATTTGAATCGAAGTTCACGGCAACATCTCAAATGAAAGTATGAAACTTCTCAGTTTCCGCCAGGCCCACAAGGCCCGGCCCAATTCCCAACGTCCCATCCCACACTGGAAGTGTTGAGCTACTTAGGCCCAGGTTTGGCCCACGCGAGGGGAAACCGAAGCAGAAAATCCTCGCAAATCGCTCGTTTCCTCCCCGAAGAACCCCCGCCGTTTTTCAGTTCCAGTCGTAAG